TGCACAATGACATTAAGTTTCTGGAGATTATTCGGTTTTGGCTTATAACACACAGCTCTTTTCACTTCAAATCAAAAATTTTCAATTGGATTCAGATCCAAACTTTGGGGAGGCCAATCCATTATCTAAATCCTATTTTCGTTGATAAATTTCCTTACAATTTTTGCTGTATGAAGTCTTGCGTTATCTTGCTGGAAAACAGGGTGATCACAACTCGAAATTGCTGAATATTTTTTTAAAAATGGTACAACATATTCACAAAGAATCTCTATATGAGATACACCAGTGGCAGAGACCGTTAAAGAAACAAGGGGCCCAACTCCAAACCAAAAGAAACAGCTCCAGTACATATGACCTTGACTATGATTAGTAGTGCTACTCAAACATTCCAGATCCTACTTTTTGTTTAGTTCATGCTAAATTCAATAATGAGAGGTCTGAAAAAGATGAATTGTGATTTCATCAGACCACAGGATACACTTGAACTTTCAAACAATCCAACCTTCATGAGAATAAGTCCAATTGAGTCTTTTTTTGATATTGGTGGGGAAACAAATGGCTTGGGACGAGTGACACATAATCTCAAGTTTTCTTTATATAAAGCATGATGAATGCTACTTTCAGAAACTTTTTTTTTTTGTGTATTGTAAAAAGGGTAGTGATTTGGAAGAGAGTTAATCAGTAATTTCTTTAAACCAACCTTTTTAGTTTTTTACGATCGGTAGGGATGAGAAAACTTGGATATTCAGAACATTTTTTTTTTCTTGTGCAAATTTACCTAACTTACGAAATTCGTTTATTATATTTCAGGTGGCAGTCTTTCCACAGTCTACAAGGGTTGCAATCTGGCATATTGAATCTTCTTTTAGGTATCCATAAATGATAGAACTTTTTTATCCCTTCGTCAAATCCTTTTTGTTATCCATTTTGAAGAGAAAAAAACTGGTTGTTTTTTTTTACAGCAATCTGTGGTACACAAACCTTGTTTAAAATTTTGTGTAATATCGCTCATGTGTTATGCAACATTTGATGAAAATTTCAAGCAAAAATTTTAAGTGAAAAAAAAAAATGGATTTTTGAGGAATTTTTTTTTTTTAAAAAAAAAACTAGATTTTTGCTTTCAGTCTTATATAAAAAAGATAATGCTGAGTCATCGCCACATAACTTCTGCATGACTAGATGGAATTGCTCAAAATTTTAGTATATTATATATCAAGTTTCAATAAATATATGTTAAAAAATTTATAAAAAATTAGTTACTACAATTTTAAATAATTAAGTGTAAAAAAGTGTCCACAATAATATGATAGGTAGCTATATTTTTTAAATATCTAAACTTGTAACAATTTTAACTTGTAATTGTACTATAGAACTTATATCATATTTAACAATCTAAATATTTTAAAAGATATTTGATTTGTCTTTAATAATCTATAAATTTGAAACATATTTTCAAATAATTGTTAAATATACAATTCTGGTCATAAGTATTTGTATCTCTTTTAAAAATTCAAATCTAATCCAATTGTTTTAAAAATATTAAAACAGATTTAATGTGAATATTTATTCCTTTAATTTCTATTTACTTGTTAAATATAACTTTTGCTAATATAAATAATAGAGTATAATTGTTATTATTTATTGTTATAATAGTTGTTATTGTTATTATTATGAAAAAAACCAGATTAAAAAAAAAAAAAAACTTTTTTTTGTACACAATATTTTCTTAAAAATTTCCTTTTATAGTAATCTTTCAAAATTAGAGAAAATATTTCTTTTGCTTTTCAATATCTACAAGTTCTTTACAAAGCTTTAAATTTTACTATCAAAAATCTTAAGAAACTAAAAAAGCATATTGGTGCATTGAGATGTAATCTCTAATCAGGAGTAAGCAAGCTTAAGGAACTTGCTTTTCTCTTGAATTATATGAAAAAAGGCTCATGGCAGTTACTTCTTTACAAGTTTTTATTAAGATTTTTTATATTTATATTTTTTATTAAAACATCTCTTATTAATATATAAATACTTTTAAATATTCATGTTTTTGACTTAAAGGACTTTATTTTATTTCAAAATACAAATTTTTACATTAATTTTGTTTATATAACTAGCTTGGGAAACTATTGGTATATATAAAAAACAACTTCTACTATCACTTAATACATTTTACTGTACTATAAAAAAATAAAAAATTCTTGTTCAAAAATTTTTTCCAAAAAACTACAATCAGTTTGCTCCTGGCAACTGATCAATATTCTACCTTTAACCAATTACAAATCATCAAATATTCAAACACATTTATTATACTTATCAAAGATCAATATAAACAATATCAAAAATAAAAATCTGTTCAATCCCATAACCTTATTCTATTAATAAACATCAAACAACAAACATATTTCATCAATTATCAATCAAAAAACAACAACACAGCTCTAATTTTGCAAGTCAACAACTATCACATCTAAACCCATCACATTTAAACAATTATTCAATCAATCAATTACTATCACTACATACTATCAACTATCAAGAATATATGTTATTATTATAACTATATATTTTGAACAGTAGTTTGGCCAATCACAAAAGTATATTATTTAATATACTTAAACAAATTGGAACTACCAGAGTGATATGCCGAATAAGCATTCTTAATTATATAATTAATTTTATTACCATATATTCAAATAATTATCCAATCAATTAACTACTACCATCATATACTGGCAGTTATCAAGAAAAAATGTCATCATCATTACTATATACTTTGGACAATAGCCTGGCCAATTGAAGTAGTATATTTTTCAATATATTCAAACAGAATAGAACTACCAGTGTCAAATAGACATTCTTAATTATATAACTAGTTTTATTATATTTCTCACTTGTATAACATTAAATATAGAATTTTTTATTCAACTTTTATTCAATTTTTTTTTATTTCTCATTTTATTTACATCCAATAAAAAATTCTGAATAAGTAAGCATAGCTGTTACTTGGCTATATTTAGTATATATAATATTATTTTAAAATTTCTTTTTGATATTAGCTAGGTATAGATATGTAGATAGGCTAATATTTAACTTGTTATATGCTTTGCATCCAAAATATGTTATTACTTTCACTAGTATATCTATCAATACCATAAAATAAAGAAATGATGTTTATCTATTGGAAAAAAAAAAAGAAAAAAAATTAGATTAAACAAGTTTAATTTTTGTTTTGTTGTTTTAATGAAATCTAATTAGATAATTGAAAAGTAATAATTATTTAAAAAAAATAAACTAATTTCAATTTTTTAAACAAAAATTTTTGAAAATTTTAAAGTAGTACATCAAATATCATCATAATAAAGTTATTATAAAATTTATATTAAAATAAATAATAGATTCAATAACTTTGTTTAAATATATTTTTTAAAAAATATTTGATTTAACAAATATGATAGTAAATAATTTTTTGATATAATAAAGATAAGAAGAAGTACAAGAAAACAAAAAAAAAAGAACTATTATAGATCTTTTTTCATGCAATTTAAGAATAAATAAAATTTCCAAGCTTGAATAAACTTTGATCAGAAATTTCATTTTATTGTACTACAGTGCCATTCACTTAGTTACCACATAAAAAAAAACTTAATTTTAAATTTTATTAAAGTTTTTTCTAATAATTAAATTTTTTTAAAAATACATAAGTTAACAGTTTACAGTTTGTTTTATAATTTTATATATTCTTTTAAATTAGAAAACTCTGATTATTAAGTTAATAGATTTTAAAAATTAGAATTTTCATATATATTTAAAGAATTTGGTCACCATTTTTAAATATCACATAACAATGAAGATATTATGATTGGTTCAAATTTTATATAATATACTATAACACGGGAAAAAGGTAATGCGTCTCACACCGAATTCTGGGTTTACACAATATTGTGCGGAAATCAATAGTATTGAGTACAATGAGCGAGGTAGAAAACTTGCGCGAACCTGAAGAAATGGGAACTGTTCAGATCACGATACAATCGCAATGATTGCCACATGACTGGGTCATGCCAGGATCAATCATGGCACTATGAAGTGATTAATAAAATTATATAATAGAATAGTATGAAAATCAAATCGCTTCGTTATGAGATTTCTTATATTTTTACTTGATTTGTATTTATCATTTTTATTATGTAATAAGTATGCAAGAATATTGAGTAAAGGAACAAAAAGAAATCAAGTCCAGTTAGAAAAGATTCTCGGCCAATATCAATTCTGCCTCACCATAAATAAAATACTTACCATCATTACGCGAATCTGAACTTTCCTTAGTGACAGACTCACCGATCACCATTACAACGTGCATAATAAAAAAGTAATGATACGTGTAGATAGTAATAAAAAATAATGATATACTGTATATACATGTAGATAGTAATAAAAATAATGATACATATAAATTTTTTATTAATTCTCATAACTTGATAATATACTATTATAGTCTTAATTTACCCTATTTACAGCACATGAACTTAATCTTAAATAAATAAATTCCTTAAATTTACTGTAATACAAACCTAAATTCTATTAATTATCTATTATTACGAATGCTTTTTATCTTTATAAAAAAATGCAGCTGATATGTACCTCCAAAAAATTAGTTGAAATAACTCTTGTAAAGCTAAAATCAAAAAATATATAATTAATTGCATATCTGTTAATTTGTAAAATGTATATAAATTCTATCGTTAGTAACAATGCCATATTCAAAACATCAGTTACAAGCTTGACAAGCAATTTCCAAATGTTAAAAATCCAATGATTTATCTATATTAGACTCAACTTCTCAAGAACCATATAATAATAATGATAATCCTGAAGATGTTATGCATCAAACAAACATTGAGAACTTAGATATACATATCTCTAATTGTCCACAATGATACTTGGGTAACTCAGTACAAACTATATAATGAAAAAATGCTATACTTTAGGAAACTGCTAAAAATATGGCTGAAAATAAAAGTAAACAAATGGATGATGCTGAATATGAAAAAGAACCCAATTGGCCTGAAATACAAATATCATTAGCAAATGCTGCAAATAAAAAGGATTTAGAAAAAGGCACAAAGGTACGAATTGAGGCTGTTCAGCAATATATACGATACCTTATTAATGGTTACCAGGCAACTAAAGCAAGTGAAATTGTACAACAAGGCTTGGGATGGAAATCTTGGTCGGCAAGACTTATTCAATTATGGGTAACTCAATGAATTTGTAATAAGAATATTCCTGTATCAAAACGTGACAAGCATCCAAAAATTTGAAAACTTCTTAGTGATGAGAATGTAACTTTACAAATTCTAAGTTATATCCATATATTATCGAAAAATGAATATCTTACAATAAAAAAACTTCATTATTACATTAATACAATTGTGTTACCTTTTCTTGGTTGTAATATTGAAAATAAAGTAAGTGAAAATACCGTAAATAGATTTTTGCATGATTATGCATGGTCCTGGAAGCAATGCCAAAAAAGTGTTTATGTTGATAAACATGAGTGTCCTGATGTTATTATATATAGAAAAAATTTTCTGAAAGAATTAGAAAGTTTGGAATGGTTAATTCCAACATTTGAGGGTAATAATCTTGAAAGTCGAAAAGATTCAGAACTTTTACCTAGAAAAAAACTTTATATATTAGTAACTCACGATGAATCAGTATTTTATGCATATGATGCTTTCAAGTTTCAATGGATTGAAGACAGAAAGCAGCCACTTTGAAAAAAAGGACAAGGCAAAGGATATTATATAAGTCACTTCTTGACAGAAATGATTGGGCAATTGTAACTAACACCCGAAGAACAAAAACAATACCCACATTTACCAAAAACTGCAAGAGAAGATCTAGTTCCCAGTACTAGTAATGAGAAATGGTGGAACATAGAAAAGTTAGTAAAACAAGTAAAAGAAAAACTTATTTCTTTATTTGAGACTACTCATCCTGAATGTATAATGGTAGCTTGCTTTAATAATGCAACAAGCCATAATGGATATGCTGAAAATGCCTTACGAGCAAGTGTTATGAATTTAAAACCAGATGGAAATTATAAAATTAGGGATACTATATTCAATGGACAGCCCCAAACGATGACACTTCCAAATGGCAGACCAAAAGGAATCAAAATGGTTTTGAAGAAATGTAAATTATGGAAAAAAGGTCTTTTGCTTGATTGTAAAGATTGCAAGAATGGCATTGATAATGAAAATCATTTAAATTGTTGCGCACGACGAATCATGAGTCAACAACCTGATTTTCTAATCCAGAAACTGTGGATTCAAGAAATAATTGAAGCTGCCGGACATAATGTATTATTTTATCTGAAATATCATTGTGAATTAAATTATATAGAAATGTATTGGAGGCATGTAAAAGGTATATACAAGAGAAATGTAATTATACCTGGAAAGGTCTTTTGGAGAGAATTCTGGAGGCTTTAAATAGTGTTGATATTAGTACTATTCATAGATTTGCGAAGAAATCACAACGGTATATAAGTGCTTATAGAAATGGTTTAACTGAAAAGATAGCAGAGTATACTGTTAAAAAATACCATTCTCATCATCGCATTCCAACTACCATATTAAATGATATTGAGATCAAGTCAGATAAATATAACATTAGTGAACATCACAAATAAATACTTATTAAAATTCAATAAAATTCTTTTATATTTATGGTAATGACGGTTACGTTTATGCTTTTAGAGATAATGATTGATCTTTGGTTTAGAATTTTGTACAGTGATAGTAAGAATTAACAGAATCCGATTTCAGTTTATAATTGATACAGCATATCTTTTTGGAATTTCTTATTATGTTGTATTACACATAACATATCATTAATAGAGATGAAATTGGTAAAGAAGAATATGAGAGTATTTCTGATCCTACAGAAGCAGCCAGTAATTAAAATTGATGTGAAAGAGATTATTTGACTTTGAGCCAACATTTATATAAAAAGATGCGTATGACATAAAATTTATCAGCTAAGCCACTGGGTTAAAATTTGGCCGGTGGCGCAGTAATTGTGGTGATTAAGTGAATTGCACTGTAGTTATTTTAAAAATTCTTAAGTTCTTAAATTAAAACTTGCAATAAAAAGTATAAACTATTTTTTCTTAAAATTATTATTAAAAAAAATTTTTTTAACAAAATGGATGTGATTAGAAAAATGTTTTTTTATAATTATTTTATTTAATAATAATAATTTAATAATAATAATAATTTTATTAATAATCAAAGTCACGATACTTTATAAATCGGAAATCGGGATCTGCATCACATGTTACATCTATTTATAGTAACAGTTCTAAAATTATCATAATAAACTAACCAAATTTCACATCTGTTTTACAGTAGAATTTATGCCCTGATCAGCATAGAAGTTTGAGTAACTGTAATGTAGACAATTACACATGCTTCATAAATGAATCTCGAAAAGGCAGTAAGGAAAGACAACTCGATAATCTCCATTAGTGTGTATAACAAGAGACTTATGTCTTGGGAAGTCGAAATCTCCGCAACCTCTGATCTAAAAATAACAAGAAATCTTTCATTTTCATACTCATTTCGCCGGCAACATAGTACATAAACCAGGTTTTTCACTATATAATAAAAAAATGTCCATACACGCTTTTTCACCTTCCTCACCTATATCCGATTCCTCTACATTAATGGAAGAAAGGTCAATCCGCACGATGGCCAACGTCATCAAGAAATATAAAATGGAAGAACTCATTGACTATTTACAAAGGCAATGAAAGAATTTCCGGTCTCGATTTTCTTGAGACAACAGAAGACAAGTTTCGCAGTTATAGTTTGAAAGGGGGTCCAGTTACAAGAGTTGCAAAATTTATCGAAAGTTTAGGTCAAAACTATAAAGCTTCTTGTCATATAAAATGCTGGAAGAATTAAAAAACGTGTTCTGTAAATACAAAGTAAACGGCGAGGATATTACATGCATTAAACAATTTAATCCGGGTATGTATTAACTTTTTTCTTGGCATAATTTGGGCGAACTTTTTTGACTATTTGTTCACTGAAATTTCTTAGCAAAGGTGATTGGGGTGAATAATTCATCACACACATATAGATTATACGCTAATGTTTTTTTCTATTATATAGTTTTCGAGGAAATCGATGATGATGACGAAGCGTTCAAACACTGTGTAGCAGACATAATACTAATACTAACAAATATCGAGATATCGAGATGATGACCGATACCAACGAGACGACCCGCTGTGAATTTATTTCCTCTATCTTACATACGCCACTTGCCATTGTTCGAAAAATCACTAAAGAAGAAAAACTTTATATATCTCTGCAAAAGGATGTCTCTGGTGAAGAAGCGTCTGGATGTGTTGATTATGCGATCAAGGGGAAGGAGGATCTCATGTGCATCGCTGAATGTAAACCAGCTAATATTAAGATTGACTATCTTCAAAATATTACACGAATAAGAAAAAAAGGACGGGTGAACAAGCATTTGGAAATGATGACTACGACTACCTCTGCGGAATTGTATCCACGGGTATGGATTGGCATTTTCTCGTTTTAGGTTTTATTGCACCAGTGAAAGCGAATATCAGATAAATCTTTCGAAAACGGCATTGAAAGAAGATATCGAATCCAACAGAAAAGGAGTAAAGCGTGCATTGGGTGTTATTGTTGGTTTATTAAAAGATCAGGTAACAGTTGATAATTCCCCAGCCAGTAAGAGAACAAGAATCAAAAAGATTATCAAAAATAGCGGATAGATAGTTATCCCGCTTCACATGTATTTTTTTTTATTTTGTATTAATAAAGAAAAAGCAATTTCCAGATTTTTGGATGTGCATAACATATTTTGTTCTAATTTATGGATGTACAATTCCATTTATTAATGTAATTTCGAACCGTATACTAATTTTGTTTTAGCTCTTGTATATTGGCATCATGTGCCAGCTCCGCTGAAATATATAGGTAGGTAGTGAAAACTGGAATACTATTTCAAACTTATTGATATGGTCAGCGAAATTTATCCGAGTGCCTCTGAAATTCATATAGAGAGAAGAGATGTCTCCCAGCTCAAAGCACTTTCATTAAATTTCCTAAGAAGCATCTCTGAAATACCTGGCGATAAAGAAGTTCCTAAACTTAATCCATGTTGTACTTGTGGAAAAGAAATTCCAGCATTTTCACTTCAGGATTTTGCACATATATTTCATCGAACATATCTCGAAAAACATATTATAGGAGCAGAAATACGATTTCCTACATGTCCAACCTGCCCGCATTCATTGAAATTATTAGAGAGGAACTTCGACTTGTTTCTGGTGATTGTTTTCTGGCATCCCGCCTTCCCGCAGTAAGTGCTTGAAGTCAGATATTAAATAGGTTATCTTTTTTTCTGGCATTAGCCTATCTTCAATTGAATCTCAATGCATAATTAACTACATATCTTTTTCCGAACTTGAAAGGAAAAAGAAGGAAATGCCTCCCAGCAATCTAACGTAACCATCTTAGGGATTGGAAATTATGTGAAGTATGGGGTTACAATAATCCCTATTGTAGATAATTTTGTCTCTATGCAAGATCAGACTACAAGCCTCATTATTAACAAATATAATAACATTTTATAAGAGAATTCTGAAAATCAGACTAACAAAAATAATGAGAAGTATATGTTACGCAAGGAAAGACAGAAAAATGCGTGACGAAAACCAATCAAGATGAAATTCTGTGTTGATATACTATACAGAAGGATTCGAAAAGAAAGTCCAGAATATCCTGGATAATAAACAAAAAAGTTAAGGACCAACAAGCTAAAACCAAGTATACACTTTTATTATTCCACATCTCCCGGGTGTCACAAAGGAAAACCTGCGTAAGAAAACTCTGAAGACTAGAAATATCTACAAATTTTTTAAAAGAATTAAACGCTTTGTATCATATAGTGCAAATACAATTTCAAAGTTAACTGGCATCCAAGTCCCAAATCGCTTCACTATTCTACCGGTGCTCCTTTGATTAACGTGAATTTCGGTTCACATACGTTGACTTGTGATGCAGTACATATGTAGATTAGAGTTTTGCGTCAGCGAAATAATTACACCTTTATTTATTTATTTTTTTCCAATATAGTATCGACAGCGTGTTTTTCACTTTAAGAAAATTATTTCACAAGTTTCGTTTTGCGATGTATACTGTGCATGCATAATCTTACGAATACATCATAATTATAACTTTATTATTTTTTAGATAAAAATTGAGCTAAACTAATACAATGTGTCATAATATTGTTCAAGAATTTTGGGTAAAAGAAAGTGGTGCTTAATTATCAGCAAAAATATAATGACAAAAAAACATAATACAAAACGTAAATTGTAGTGTTCATCAGTCTTTGGATATATTATTATTAAACCAATCGGTGCCGCAACTATCAGTATCAAAAGAGTTAAAATCATTGCAAATGTAAAAACTAAATGTGGAATTCCTAAAAAATAGAGAATGCAATATCTGTGACTTTTACCAATATTATTAAGTATAATCGTGTAAAAAAATACAGCAGATAAATAATAAAAGCCTAAATTTTCAAAAAGGTATAAAGACATGAAAACAGTTAATAATGAAACCATACGGTCCATAAAAACAAGAATTGAGTTTCGGGATTCTAAGAGAAAAGGTTTAATATGAAATATTATAGTATATGATATTTTTTCCTTCAATATTGAATATTTCTCACCTTTCGCAACATGTTTAGCGATTTGTTCATCATAATCATCAAGGAAATGAATTTGATAATCTTCATTGGTAAATGTAGCTCCAATTACTTTAGCATTTATACCAAATCTTCTAATAGCAATTTCTCTATATCTATTAGCTTGCTCTTTAACCTTATGCCTAGAATTATGTCTAGAAACTTGAGCAGTCCTGCCACTTCCTGGGTGAAGAGATTTGGTTTCAACTATCAAATAAACCCCGCAATCGGATCCAAAAATCAGATCACCTTTTCCTTTATTCGAATAACCTCTTTCAACTTCCCAATCAAAATCTACAAGATATTCAAATCCCGGACAAATTACATCGATTCGATCAATTAAGACGTTTTTCACTTCATCTTCTGGATGTTTCGGATTCGAATATTTATAAAAATTTTTCCACTCTTCCCTTTTATCAATTGATTGTAAATAATTATTCATATTGAATATACAGTACGTAGAAAAAAATTTGCCAAGCAGGATTCTTTATCCTTATATAGTTTTTGTTGATGATCAAAACGATCCGATTGGCAGATAATAAGATCAACGAAAAAATGAAAACCTTTCTGAAATTTTGGATGTAATACTAATTCGAGTTGGATCAAATAATTTGAGCAGGTATATATAGGTGGTACGAGGTGAGAAATATTTATAATACACATTCTTCGAGTTATTTTGACTTAATGGCCAGCGAAACTGCTTTGAAAAGGTTGGAAATAGTTTCATGAATATTTCAAAAAAAAAATAATAATAATAACATAGTCTATAGATATTAGTATGAAACTTCACTACGTATTCTGAGACTTGTAACTTATTTTTGCGTGTTTTTCATGTTACTGTGTATATAATAAAAAGTATTGGGTGATCAAAATTTTGCATGGTTAGGGTATAGGATATGCGCAATTGAACAATTCAACGTTTATCGTGTACCATTGCATTCACATATTACCAATGACACCCCTGGCATAAACTTGAAGTCCTCGAAATACATTCCAGATATTAGAATGTTTTCAGCTAAGGAAGAAATTTTCGGAAAGATCCATTATCAAAAATCTGCCTGACGGTACGTTGATACCCAAGCCCGAGACATTTTGCATGTTGTAAATTTTCTTTTTGCGAATACCATTCAAGATTAGATGCTTTGTTGTTGCTATAATCTCCATCGATATGATTCACCTTTTTCTTTGTAGCAGAATGCTAATGCCACTAGGCAATGAACACGATATTTGTGAAGTTATCTACCGACTAGAAGATATCTGCGTTTAATGTTCCTTGTGTAATTACGCCACTGAATTTTACCTAAATATGAAACTCTGAATTTTTATGAGTTAAGTTTTATCTCTTTTCATTCTTCATTGGAATCTTGTTCTATATAGTCTTTATAATACATTATCCGCCAACAGGATTTGCATTTCCTCTGCAACATAACGTAATGTTATATGTATTTTCTGGGATTTAAGTGTGAGGTGGATAGAATTCCAAACTTGAACAATATTTCCATCTAATATTCTCTGCACAACACATCTAACTACCATGACCAGGATTCGGGAATAATTTATGATTGGAATCTTCTTTAGAAATCAACATTCCAAATTAAAACAGCCCGGTTATTATGTTTGATGCCATTAATGTGGTTAACATAAGGCTTATTTTCTGGATTAGGAATGAACTAAAATAATGGATAGCAGTATTTGTATGAACATTAATAATTTTTAACCTTGCTATACGTACTGTTTTTGTTAGGATTCGGTCTAAAAATCCTACCAGATTTGTTCTTGATATTTCCAAGATTGGATATTAATTTATCTGAATCTGTTATAGGTAGCCAAATTTTTATTCTAACATCTGTTATTTATTGTGAGGCTACAGTATTTTCAATTAAAAGCATTATAGAGCTGTTGTGTCTCATAGCGTGAATACAATTTTCAAGGTCAAATCAAAATACAGTATTATCGCTTTACTGTTTGACACGTGATTTGATTAGCGTGAGTCACGTAACTTGTATTGTTATATAAAAAATTATTTAAGTAAATTATAATTAATAAAAGTATCAAGTATCATTTATTTTTATATCGGGTATATAATAGTAGGGTTTTAATTGATACTGAAATGGTGCTAACTTGATATCAAAATAGGATTGTTGAAAACTCCATATAATAGTTATATCTGTAATTTATACATGTAATATTTTGTATATACAAAAAAATAGATAAAAACCATTATCTCTTTATTTTTTATATATCGACCCCACAGGGGTCGTTATAGTAATAAAGCACGATTGTCCGTTACTATAAAATCTGAGAAGTTAAAGTCCGATATATGCTAATATGCGGACAATTAAATTAAAATATT